ATTTGGAAGTGATGGATACCTACTCCGGTTCCTAATCCCCGTAGAGACATAGGGCCTTAAGGATTAATCATGTTATTGACCCATAGGGAGTATATATATTGTGCTTGTGTCGTAATGTCTAATCCAAGAATTAATATTGACAATAATGCAGCTAAGCTTCTTGTCTGACCTAATTAGTAGAGGCAAACAGCAGTGTAGTACAAGTGCAAGTGAATTTAAAGGCTTACCATTTTAGAAATTGATGCAAAACAAAGATCTTATCAAGGCGTGATATGCCACAAACCCTTTAAAAAGAGAGACGTGCCTTTGAAAAGGCGGACACAGGTGATGTATAGCTGTTGGCGACTTGTGTTGGTGCATTGTGCATGAAATATTTGTATACTGTAGGTGAACAACTCAACAAAGAAAAGGCAAAACAAAACTTTGGATAATTTGGAGCCGTATATTTTGGAGTATAAGAGATAGAGACTAGAAAAAAATGGGGGTGATGTCCCCGAAGGGGCGGTGGATTCCCCCGGAGGGACGGAGGAAAGGTAGAGACGCCCACGAAGGGACAAACTCCTTTGCAATCAATGTGCGAATGATGTGTCTCATCGGTATTTCTATATTTTTTTAGTATATTAAATAAAAGAGACACTCCCACCCGCAGAGCATCAGTGCCCTAGTGGTAGAATAGTACCTGCCATGGTACAGACCCGGATTCCTTTCCCGGCTGATGGAAATTATTTTAACTTTTCTTTCAGATCATTTTAGTTTTTGCTAAGTGCACTTTTAATCCCTATGATTTACTTCAAGTTGCCCTTTAGTGCCTGTAATTTCAATTGTATCAATTTTAATCCTATAATTTACCAAACCTTGTTAATTTCTGATTTTTAATTTGTCTAAACTTCATAATTTCATATGTTTTTTATTTGCATTCATGGTATATAATATACAAGTCCAGGGTTCGGATCGTTAAAAGTTTGATGTGATGTGGGCCTAACAGCTAATCCCCATTTTTATAAAATAAATTAGGATCCCTTCGTTTAAAGGCTTCCTATATATATATATATATATGTTGTGGCATATGTTCTAATACATATTGTGATTTGTAAATCCTAAGTAGAGATAGATTATGAATCCTTTGGAATCTAGAAGATTTTTCCTAATAGACTTTGTATTACTTCGAGAGGAAGTTTCTCTCCTCCTTATTACTATAAATAAAGGCACAAGGACTTGGGAATTAACACATAATTTCTCAAGTATATTCTCCACTCTTTTTTCTCTCCATGCCACACCCCTCAGTTAAATATAGCCCACAACACGTTATCAGCACACTCTTCACGCTGTGCTAAAGAGAATTTATTCATCTTCAATTAGGGGAGTATTACGTTTCAATTATTCGTAATTGATTAAATTTTGATTTTATTGAATTCATATACCTTTATTAATTCAATTTATTTTTCTTGTGTTGAACGTCATACAAGTTTTGAAGATGGAAAGCCGAAACCTGAAGAAACAACACCTACAAACCCGTTCACAATATTCATCACGCAATCCAGGTTCTTCTAAAACAGTGGTGTTTATTTCGTTATTTTTTCAGCCTTGATTGCATGAACCTTCACCATAATGCATGACTCAACTTTACGATTAACGAATTTTAGATGATACATAAATTGCATATGCATTATAATCATAATATTACCATTATGTGAATTAAATATGTGTGAATAAAGAAAAGAAAAAGAAAGAAAAAAAGGGATGTTGAAACCCTAGAACTCAACTGGGGCCTAAAAACATGGATATATATGTTTCCGATTTGGGCCTGATCTATGAGGGCCCAATGCTTGTCACACCATCAAACCCTAGAATACATCAAACAATTTGCATAATTTCTGTAGTTCTTCCCCGCAATGGTTGTCACACCATCAAACAATTTGCATTAGAATTTCAGATTGGGCAAGTTTATTTTCCATCTGGGCAAGCTTCTTTTGCGACGAATCGATCTCGCGGAGGATTAGACCGACCTACTCGAAGATGAGGGAGATGTTCTTCTGAGGATTAGACCGACCTACTCGCCGATCTTGAGAGAAACATATCCCATCTTGGCGGTGTGAGTGGAGGTCGGAGGGGACGGGATCGGCGAGGAAGTTTGTGCTCAAAAAAAAAAAAAAAAGAGGGGGGATCCATGTACCCGGACCAAACCAGCCCGTTTCAGTACCCGGTCCGAATCAGTCTTTTTTTTAAATCCCGATTCGGTCTGGTTCTTATAAATTTGGACCTGAGATCTTTATCTGCATAGTTAATATTATTATATGTTTCGGTTCTTACATCTCACTTTACACGTGTCTTAATCATTTGAGTTACAAGTTGAACTATAGAATATAGAGTTTTAAAGTTGAAATAGATGAGAACTTGCATCCAATTTCGATAAGTAAGCAATTGCAAGATCATCTTGTCCACACAAATCATACATACTTTGAATGGTAATTTGTTTCTTTTTCCAGTTGAGGTAAGAAAGTCAAATTCTAGAACCCTTAGTTGGACAAAGCAACCTAGCCCTAGCCAGATATCTCTTATCTCTTATATATAAAGCCAGAAAACCCTTAGTTGGGGTCACGGATTCGACAAAAGGGCATATGGCCAAAAATAATATTATATAATACACGCCAGAAAACCCTACCAGATTTGATGAACAAGAACATACGCGTATCTTGGAATTGACTGATAAATGTATGTGTATATACTATATATCTCTATTAATTAATGAATTTCTTATTGTCAACCAGAAGAAGATGAAAAGATAACTTCGTCTTTTATCACACAAAAAGAAATGATTGGCAATAATGTAATTTTATAATTCCAAATTTTACCTTTTTTTTTTATTGAAACCTCATCTACAGATAATGTTAAAATATCTCTAATATTTAAAATTAAAAATAATAAAATAATAAATAAATAAACCAAAAACCTCCTACTCCCCCATATTCTCCCTCTCTCCCTCTCTCCCTCTCTCCCTCTCATTTTCTAAAAAACTGTGTTCATACACATAAAATGTGTAGGCATTTGTTAGTATTATAATAATACTATTATTTATATATGCACGTTATATGTATATATATTTTTTTATTTATTGTTGCGTTCATCCATCAAAGTCTTTCAACTTGTACTTTCGAATATTTTAACTGCACCATGTAAGTATACACATCAGAGAAATAGACATGTACGGTGTTTACCAAGACTTTGCTAGCAGATCAGACCTTAAGCTAATTTGCTAAATTATTTTGGTCTTTTCATTACTGATCAGGAATTCAGAGGCTGGTACACTTGACGGTCCACAAAAGTTTTGCATTTCCAATTTGGTGAAGTAATTATCGACGATTAGTAGACTTACTGATCAATTAAACTTATGAGACTGAAATAGGATAGTGATAGGATTTTAGTACATGCGCAAATAAGGTTAAAATCACACTAAATACTTGTAAGAGTACAAGGTAATTGAATATAAATGTTCATGCACAGTTGTTCTCTACAAAGATTATTTAAATAATTTACTTAAAACCAATTCCTAATTAATCACTTGAAAACGGAATTTAAGAAAGGTGATTCTGAATTTTAGTAATATTAAAAATAGATTTAATTAAAAATTAAATAAGAAATTCGTCCAAAATTAAAGAGATAAAATAAAAGAGTTTTTGAAAATCAATTTGTAAAAGCACTAGGTTTCTGCCATCATCTTAACAATTCTGTATATTTTTACCAATTACTTATAATTTACACATGCACCTTTGAAGGTTAGATTTTCCTACTTGGACCTCCAACCTAGAACGTATTTTCAACTTGCAACCAGTTCAAACGCTCGGATCAAATATAAACATGAAAGACTCATTAAGTTTTGTGAAAACTTTTCCAAAAAAACATAGAACCCTTAAGATGTGATGCAATATAATATTGTTGTGTTCATGCGTCAAAGTCTTTCAACTTATCCTTTCGAATATTTTAACGCCATCATGTAATTAAACACATCAAAACATCCCCTCAATCAAATTTTCTTCCTATCTTTTTTCGATAACATAACTAAGTCACTCAATCTTTATTGAAAGCAGTACACTATTTGATCAGTTTCAAATAAAAAAATAAATCCATAGTTTGAAATTTAGGTTATCTCAAGTTGTGTATTCCTGTAAACTGTATGAGATAGGTAATAGCTTACTTTGTTAAAAATTTTATGTATAATTTTTTTTTTTAAATGAAGGATAAAACGGATAAAAAAACAAAGAAAATAAAGAGAAATAAATGCATTTGCTTGGATCAAACCGCTGAGAAGGAGATAAACCAATTTCTATTTCATTTAACCAACAAGGTAACAGTTGAACTTTAAAATATTTTCTAGTTTACGTTATTTATCTGTAAGCTAACGCATAAGGTAAACGAAGTTTGGGGTCCTCTCACTTGGGGGCCCTAGGCGGTGGCCTCTTCCGGCTACCCTCAGGGCGCTAAATTATTTTGGTCTTTTCATTACTGATCAGGAATTCCTCGGCTGGTTACACATGACAGTGCTGGCGAAATATCAAAAAACAAAAAAAAGAGACGCATCTGTAGCTGATCCGCTGTATTCACGAAACTGCAGTTGTTCTTGCACACAGTACACCACAAAAGTTTTGCGTTCCACTTTGGTTCGGAATTTGGAAGTAATTATCGACGATTAGTAGACTTTTACTCGTCAGTTAAACTTATGAGACTGATGGAAATCTCTCTTCTGAATTCACATCCTTGCTCATTCGTATTCTCTTGAAAATTTGGCACCAACCTTCCCTGCCGCTGATGGTTCTGATATTTTTATTTGTTTTGCCCTATCTGTCTGGGTATGATACAATCTGTGTTCTCTCATATTTAATATATTAATTACACAAAATGCTTGCGGCCAAAATTTCTTGTGGACCAAGTCGCGTCAGTTTTGCCCTATCAAAACGTCTGCGTCTTAATTACACAAAATGCTTGCAACTGACTTTACTGCAAACGCTTCACCACAGGTTCTTGTGGACCAAATCGCTCAAAACGTCTGCGTCAGTTTAATTTTATAGACATCTTGATCCATCAGAACCTGTGGTGAAGCATTTGCAGTAAAGTCAGTTGCAGTTTCTTTCATTAAATTTAGTTGTTGCTTGTCCAAGTGGGAAACGCGGAGGGCTTCTTGCCTATTTAGCACGACAATCAAACTACCTAAAGAGGGACTGCAAAGCAATGAAAAAAACCATGATGAGTGGATAACAAGTTAGTGAGAGAATGGCAGAGAGTGCGGTCAACTTTGTGCTCGACAAGATCAAACCGTTTTTTGAAAATGGGGTTCAACTGCTCAGAGGGGTTCGAGCAGAACTTGTGTACCTCAAAGGGGAATTGGAGCGCATGAGGGCCTTACTGAGGGATGCCGATGCAATGGAAGAAAGTGACGAGGAGCTCAAAGTATGGGTTAAGCAAGTGCGAAATGTTGCTTATGACGCAGAAGATCTTCTCGATGAATTTGCGATTCTCCAACCTTATAACAGTCAAAGCGTCCAGATGTACTGTCCGTACTATAGGCTTTGTGGCTGTGTCAAGGACTTGAAAGCTCATTACCGGGTTGCTTGGGAGTTACAGAGCATCAACACCCGAATTCGAGATATTTTTGCAGTTTACAAAAGACTTCTTCCGAAGCTTAATGCTGTGAAAGGTTCAATATTTACCAATCCAGGTAATAAACACCACACCAGTAATTTTTTTTTCTTAAATGATGAGTCCAACCGTAAATTATTATCGTTCTAGGTGGCTCAATATTAGTTCATTTACAATTCATTAATTCTATATACGGATTTCCTATGTTCAGTTTAAAATTATCCGCTCACCACATTTCCTCATAGCATTTCTAGGAAGACCTGTTGAACCCCAAGGGGGATGAAACATACGGAACCCTTGCTATAGTTTTGTACTTTGATATTCTCAAATGCTATGTTCAGACAGTACAATGTTATTTCCTAACTTCACTCCTTAATTTGCAACAGGTGACACATGGCATGACCGACGAGAGGATGCTCTTCTTTTAGAAAACACTGATGTTGTGGGCATACACAAGCGTAAAAAGAAACTTGTCAGGATGCTGGTCGGGGGTGGCTCTGGACTTGAAGTAGTTTCAGTCACTGGCATGGGAGGTATGGGCAAAACCACCTTGGTGAAGAAAGTCTACGATGATGATGAAGTGAAGAAACATTTCAAGCCCCGTGCTTGGATCACGGTTTCTCAATCTTTTCGGGTAGAGGATCTCCTTAAAGACATCATTCATAAACTCTTTGATGCAATCAGGAGGCCAGTTCCAGAAGGTGTGCACGACAAGAATAGCAATGAACTGAAAGCAATAATTAAGAACTTTCTGCAGAAAAGGAGGTACCTGATTGTTCTTGATGATGTATGGCACGCTGACAAATGGGAAACTGTCAAATATGCTCTGCCCAAAGGGAAGTTTGGCAGCAGAATCATGCTCACTACGCGTAATGTTGTATTCACCACTTGCTCGGAATCCAAAAGCAAGGTCTATCACTTGAAGCCCTTGCCTGCTGACGAGTCCCGGAAGCTGTTCATTAAGAAGGCATTTCTGGGGAAGCCATGTCCTCCTTATTTGCTGGAAAGATGTGAATGTATCGTGAAAAGGTGTGAGGGTTTGCCCCTTGCAATTGTGGCAATAAGCGGTGTACTGGCTACAAAAGACAAGCGCAGGATAGATGAATGGGATTTCATTTGCCGCAGTCTTGGAGCTGAACTTCATGGCAATAACAAACTTGAAGATTTAAAGAAAGTACTTTCTCTGAGTTTTAATGATTTGCCCTATTATCTCAAGGCTTGCTTCTTATACTTGAGCCTCTTTCCCGAGGGTCATCTGATTCGGCGTATGAAACTGATTCGCTTATGGATAGCGGAAGGATTTGTTGAAGCTAGAGAAGGAAGAACTTTGGAGGAAGTAGCTGAGGGCTTCCTTAAGGAGCTCTTGAACAGAAATTTGATCCTGGTGGGAGACACCACAAGTGATGGGAGGGTCAAAACTTATCGGCTTCATGGTCTTTTGCGGGAGATTATTATTTCGAAGTCGAGGGATCAAAACTTTGCAGCCATAATCAAAGACCAGAACACAATATGGCCTGATAGAGTTCGTCGTCTGTCAATACATAATGCATTGGAAACTGTACAAGAAAAAAGGTCAGTTCCTCAACTTCGTTCCTTATTTATCTTTGGGGAGGTTACTAGGTCATCCATGAGAAAGTGTTTTTCCACTGGGTTTAGGCTGCTTGGGGTTTTAGATTTGGAAGCTGCACCTCTAAAGACATTTCCGAACCAAATCCTGGACCTGTTTTATTTAAAGTATCTAAGCTTGAGGAAAACCCAGGTTAAATCCATTCCAAGAAGCATAGGGAATCTTAGTAACCTGGAGACGTTGGATCTTAAAAAGACCAATGTCACTGAATTGCCTCTTGAGATACTGAAGCTCCAAAAACTTCGCCATCTCCTGGTTTATCGTCTTAAGATTGAATCTTATGCACACTTCTATTCCAAGTTTGGCTTCTCGGCGCTTTCAAACATAGGAGAATTGCAGTCCCTGCAAAAGCTCTGCTTTATTGAGGCAAATTACCAGGGTTGTGGGATGACAATGAGGGAGTTAGGTAAGCTTAAGCAATTGAGGAGGCTTGGAATTATGAAATTGAGAAAACAAGATGGATTGGCTTTGTGCTTATCAATTGAAAGTTTAACCAAGCTGCGTGCGCTTTCTGTAACTTCAACGGGAGAGAGTGAGGTTATTGATCTCCATCACATTTCTTCCCCTCCTCAGTTCCTCGAACGCCTATACCTGATAGGACGATTGGAAGAAATGCCGAACTGGATACCTTCACTTAACAGTTTGGCCAGACTGTTTTTGAAATGGAGTCAGTTGAAAGATGATCCACTCGTACATCTTCAAGACTTGCCCAACCTTATTCATCTTGAATTGCTCCATGCTTGTGATAGTGACATGTTATCCTTCAATGGAAGGGGATTCAAAAAGCTCAAGGTCTTGGGTCTCGACAAATTTGACAAGCTCCAATGCGTGAAGGTGGAGGAGGGAGCAATGCCATGCCTTGAGAAGCTAACCATCCAACGTTGTAAGTCGATGAAGAGGGTACCCTCGGGAGTGAAGCACCTTACCAAGCTGAAGTTACTTGAATTCTTTGAAATGCCGAATGAATTAATCTTGAAACTGCGACCAGATGGAGAAGGCGAAGATTATGAGGAAGTTCAACATATCCCAGATGTTTATTCAGCCTATTGGAGAGATGGGGGCTGGGATGTGTATTCAATAGAGAGCTTCGGGGAGATAGAAAATGCTCCATCATCTGTAGCTGGAACTGTCCGGATAAGCCATGATCAGCTTCGTCCTCTATGGAAGGTTTAAATCCGATCGATGATACTTTGTATTTGTATATATGTGTGTATATATATATGTCGTATGTAAAATTGTAAATAGTCATTGTACGTAATGTGCAAGCAAGTCACTCAATGTACAGATGAATTACTGTTGCAAATATTTGCAACTCATATATGTAACTTACTGAAGAATAAGGTGCAGTACTTGGGCACCAACATTTGTACATATACAGAAATGAATGGAAAAAAACTTTGTGCATAGGAAAATGATTGTGCTCAGTCACTCTAAACTACCCAATATGGCATCCAGTTCCAGTGAATTTCTGTAATGTTGAGGAGCCATTTCCCATCGGCAAACCCACTGCGAAAACGAGGAAGAAAATACAACTACACTGCAGTTTACATTCTGTGATGACCTAAGATTTCTGAAAAAGTAGATGAAATGGATGAGAGCTTGAGGATGATCAAGTTGAAGGAAGGGCGTAAGTGAAACGAAATGATCAAGTAGCTGAAGAGTTCTAAAATTATGTGTCACCCCTTCATAAGCTAGTTGTCCTAGCTTGTCCAGTTGCAGGGTAGCGTACACGAACATGATAGTTTAGTAGTATGGTCTAGTGATATTCTTCTTCGTTTGTAAGTGAGAGACTTTAGATTCGATTCTTGTAGATGAAGAAAGAAAGCCTGTGTTGCTGATCACTCATCTTCTAGAATTAAGGTCAATGACTTATTTAGGATTTGATGTCACACATGACATACATAATAACTTCAACATCAGGATGGATGACTACTTTAAGATTAATTTATGAGGAATTTGTAGCAACCTTTTAGTTCTACTTTCTCGGCTCTCTTTTTTATCCTGTAATATTGTTTGATGATCGAAATCGTCTACTTTGGAGATCACTCTTTAAAGATCATTTATGCAAAAAATTAACTAAATTCGAAATGGAAAAACCATGTTTTTCACTTAAACACTAAAAATTGATGATGTTAATCAAGCAGTTAAAGGATTTTTTATTGTACTATTTTTTTTTTTTTTGTTTTGGCGCAGAGTTGGTGCTTAAAAGATGATCTAAAAAGAAGATTATTCTGACCATCAACTAATATTATAAAATGAGTAAAAGAGCGGAAAAAGTGAAACAAGAAAGTTCGTGTATTTCAACGAATAAGTTGCTAGCATCCACCTTAACTTTTTGATTACTTTCTTAATTTATATTCTGACAGGTACAAGATAAATCTAAACTTTTGTAATATAACCGGGCAAACAAGTTAATATAAATGCTTATATTATTTTGGTTCTCTGTATCGATCTTCTTAATTTACTTGTCAAATGATGTAAGGCATCATATATATATATAATTATGTTAGTTTGGTACATAGTATAAGGTCAGCATTGAGCTTGGATAAACATGAACATTTTGCTTTGCCTACTCACACATAGTTGTCTTCCTTGTCCTTGCACTGCCACGGAATGAAATATTTACGTTAATTTCGTAAATTAACCACGCAAGCAAGTTAATATAAATGCTTATATTAACTTGGTTCTCTATCAAGCTTCGTAATTTACTTGTCAGCAAAGGTTATGAAGTAAGGCATTAAATATACACACACATACAGAGACGTATAAGAGAAGGCATCCATTTTTTTTTAAAAAAGTTAGAGATTAGTTTTGAGACCCATTCTATATCAAACTTCAACGATCCGAATCGTTTATTTTTTAAGTCTCGTAGACCATCTATGCAAAAATTCAATTCATTTCAAAACCACTTGCTCATTTAATTGTCACGATGAAATTTCAATGTTTTTTGAACGTAGTGTTTGTCAATTTCTTTGAACTCAATTAGTTGCCTCAAATATTTCAGATTTGACTAATACATTGTAAGAATGATCTATGAGATGCAACTTCAAAAATGGATGGTTCAAATCGTTAAAGTTCGATGTGTTGTGAGCCCCACAACTAATCTCTATTTTTTTTCAAAAAGTTGAACCCTTCCCCTTAAAGAATCTGTATATATATTTATGTTAATTTGGTATACAGTATAATGTGAATGGGGATCATCTTCAAATCTCGTAGTCGAAAACCGAAAAATCGAGAAGTTCGGACCACTCATTTTAAATTCAATGACCCCCATTAACCAATCCAACTAGCCCCATCTCACACAAAAGAAAAGCCCATATCACTCTCTCTTGGACCGTCCGAAATTCACCATTGAGCTTGGATAAACATGAACATTTTGCCTACTCACACATATGCTGTGTTCCTTATCCTTATGCGTATCCCCGGAATAAAAAATACTTGACCTCAAAAAAAAAAAAAATAAAAGCATGGCTGTCAATATCAACCCACGAGTGGATCATCGTCGAAGGCTTCGAATTCCTCTCGACATTTCCTTCCATTTCCACTTTCTCTCTCTCACTCCGCGGTCGTCTCTCCTCTCATCTCTCACTCTTCCTCTGACCTTCCTTGTCTACTGAAGGAACCGTAACCCTCTTCTATTCCTTGGGGTAAGTTTCCAGTACACTTCTCCATTTACTTCCCACACTAATCTCACCCCTGACATAAAAGAGGAATTTGACTGATTTTCTTTGTGAGTTTTGATTGTTTTCACGCAATCTCCCAAAGGATCACTAACGGTTAGTAATCCTACTTTTGGATGGTTAGTTCTGTAGTTTACATCAGATTTTTGACATCTTTCCCTCTCGCTTTCGCCACAGATTAGCTTCTCTAGAGATGCATCCGTACCTGAAGCTGCGAACGCGGTGATAGAAAACAAACTACTTTCCGAGGCAGTTCTAGAGTCGATCGTTGGAAAGCACGGTGTTTCTCCTGCAGCAAAGCAAAGTTTGGCCGCGAGGTCATCCGAATTGTTGAACGGGTGCAAGGAATCTAATGGTGCTGAAGCTGGAAATGAAAGGGTGGAGGCATGAAAACTGAGAGAGGAGAAATAAAACTTGGGAGGGATTCCTGTTGTGTGTTTAGTGAGTTATTTACATACAATCTGTGAAGCTATAGGTAAGTGCTGTCTTATTTAATTTAAAGAAAAAGGATCATGTTTTATGAGAAATATTAGTGTTGTTTTGTTATATGTTTAATTCAAATCAACAAATATACCGTTGTTATGAAAGAAATCCGATTGTTTGTGATTGTTAGATTTATGGAGTAATTAGTCCATTTGGATAATGCCAGTCATTTCTCTATGCCGCATGAGGGGATGTAGATCAAACTTTGTTTGAATTGAGTTTGGCTCCATATTAAAAACTGCTAAAGATTGAAGATTGTCTTGATATCAAGTTTAGCAATGAATTATTAGATGAGCAAACTCAGCCCCAGTTTTTTTTTTTTTTACATACACGTATCAATCGGACTGAGATTTTTTGCTTTACGTTGCCTGGATGTGTTGCAGGTGCAGGGTTGTTCGAGAAAAAAGGTTTTAAAGGATCCTTTGCAGATGCAGGATCTTCTGCTAACGTATGGGAATTCCTATTATTAAATGATAGCATTGCAATCCGAGTGTAATTAGTTTAGTTTTTTTGTGAAATGCTGTTTACAGTGGCAGAATGTTTCTTTGAATTCAGTTGTTAAGCTTTCTTTTTATATTTTCCCCTTTTTAGACATTGCGGTTTTGTCCGGAGTGCACAGTTTGGTTGTCTGCATGTTGAAGAGGCTGCGAGGAAAGGATGATGGTACGGGGACTTGAATGCAAAAATACTACTTTTACGTTATTCATTCATTATATCGTGTTCACTCTTTCTTCCTCTGCAGTCATTAATGCTGGAGTAGCTGGATGTTGCACTGGTCTTGCTCTTAGTTTTCCAGGTATCCATTGTATTACAGAGTTCGATAATTATAAATTGGCAATAAACTCATTGACTGTGCTATTAAAATTAAAATTCTTAATATCTATAGAACTCCCGATTTTTGTTCTCTCTCATTTTTGGATTGTTATAACGAGCAAGTCTTTTCCTTGCTAATCAATAAAACAGTTTCTGTACAGTCTATTGTATCTTTAATTTAGAGTACCTTATTTAATTTGCAGGTGCACCCTAGGCTCTTCTACAAAGCTGTCTCACTTTTGGGGCATTCTCATTTGTTATTGAAGGCCTATACAAGCAGCAGCCGGCTTTAGCACAACCATTTTCTGTGAGGAAGAAAAGTGAGCAAGTTTGTCCCTTGGTGCTCCCCCTTCAACTTTCACTCCCGGGAGAACTAAAAGCGGGTTTCATCTTCTTTTGCAATTCTTTTAAGAATTGCAAGAAGGGCACTTCTCACCCAGCCTAAGAAAAGGTTGTTCCAGAAAGGTGGAAAGTGCACACCACCTGTTTGATATTAAACTTCACCGAAACTTCCCAATGTCCTGGTAGGTCTAGTCTGCAAGAGGACACTTGTTTGTTGAATTCTGTTGAAGTTTCTTAGTTACTTAACAGTTATGCTAACATTATTTTATATATATATATATATATATGTATGTATGTATGTATGTATGTATAGTGTGTTGCTTATAGTTGTGTATAAAACTGCAGGATTGAGCTCTCAATGGACTTACTTGGATGGATGCAACTAGCCAAGTGACTTGGATTGGATGCAGCCAATGTCTTTATGAAATCGATGCAATTTCAGAGTGACAAATAAAAACGATCCATACTTATGGCAGAGAGTTCTGTATGTTTTGTGCTGGAGAAGCTTGCATCCTTTTTCGAAAATGAGGTGCACCTGTTCCTAGGGGTTAGAGAAGAAGCTGTCTATCTGAGAGGGGAGTTGGAAAGGATGAAGGCCTTTCTCAGGACTGCAGACGTGCTGCAGGAAACTGACGAGGAACTCAAAGTGTGGGTGAGGCAAGTTAGAGACATTGCTCATGAAGCTGAGGACGTTCTAGACGAATACGCTCTTCTGCAAGAGCATGATCATGATCATGATCATGGATATGGAATTTATGGCTCTATCCGCAGGTTGGGTTGCTGTATTAAGAATGCCAAAGCTGGTTATCGGATTGGTTCCAACTTACAAGCCATCAACTCAAGAGTCAAAGAGATTGGTGAGGTTCACGGGAGACTTCTTCACAAGTTCAGCAAGGCTGATGACAGTGCAGGAAATACATGGCAAGATCGTCGAGGAGATGCCCTTCTTTTGGACAAGTATGATCTTGTTGGCCTTGACGAGCCCAAAAGTCAACTGGTGGGGTGGCTTTTTAAGGGAAGCTCTGGCCGTGAAGTAGTTTCGGTGGCTGGAATGGGAGGAATGGGGAAAACCACCTTGGCCAAGCAAGTCTATGATGATCCAGAAGTCAAGAAACATTTCAAAGTGCGTGCGTGGATCACAGTTAACCGGTCATTCAAATTTGGCGACCTCCTCAGAGACATGGTTCAACAACTTTTCAAAGCAATCAGAAGAAAAGTTCCACAGATGGTGACGAACATGTCCAACAACCAGCTCAAGACAACAATTAAGGAGTTGCTGCAGAAACGGAGGTACCTGATTGTTTTGGATGATGTATGGAACCTGAGCGAATGGAATGCTATCAAATATGCACTGCCAAACAATGATTGTGGCAGCCGAATTATGCTCACTACGAGAAAATCAGATGTAGCCACTACCGCTGCAAGTGTACTATCTGAAGGTAAGGCCTATGACTTAAAGCCCTTGCCTCCTTCCGAGTCTTGGGATCTATTCTGCAGAAAGGCGTTTCAACATAACAAATGCCCTCCTCATTTGGAGGAAATTTGTAACTACGTCTTAAGAAAATGCGAGGGACTTCCCCTTGCAATTGTCGCAATCGGTGGTGTGTTGGCAACAAAAGATACACGTAGACTTGACGAGTGGGATGTGGTTGCACGCAGTCTTGGGGCTGAAATTGAGGGCAACGACAAACTCAATGATTTAAAAAAAGTACTTTCCCTCAGCTTCAATGATTTGCCGTACTTCCTCAAGTCCTGCTTATTGTACCTGAGCATATTTCCTGAGGACCATCTAATCGAGCGCATGAGACTGATCCGGTTATGGGTGGCAGAGGGATTCATAGAAGCAAAGGAGGGGAAAACACTGGAAGAGGTAGGAGAGGACTATCTCCAGGAACTCTTGAATAGAAGCCTAATGCAAGTGGCAACTACTACACCCGACGGAAGGGTAAAAACATGTCGAATCCATGACCTTTTGCGAGAGATCATCATCTCCAAGTCAAGAGATCAGAACTTCACCACAATCCTGAAAGAACAAAGCTTGCAATGGTCTGAGAGGGTTCGACGCCTATCGATACATGGCACACTACAAAATGTTCAGCCAAACAGGTCAGTGTCCCAACTGCGTTCCCTGTTCATGTTCGGTGTCACTGAACAGCCATCCATCCCTACATTATTCCCAAGCGGCTTCAGGCTGCTAAATGTGTTAGACTTTCAAAACTCACCTTTGGAGAAATTTCCAGTTGAAGTGGTGGACTTGTATCATTTGAAATATCTAAGCTTGCGGGAAACAAAGGTGGAAACTGTTCCGAAATCTATTGGGATGCTTAAGAATCTAGAAACTCTAGACCTTAAGCATTCCAAAGTCAAAGAACTTCCTGTTGAGATATTGAAGCTCCATCGGCTGCGCCATCTTCTGGTATATCTACATGAGTTTGAATCTTACGAACATTTTCATTCAAAGAAGGGCTTTAAGGTCATGCCAAATATCGGGGTTCTGCAAGCATTACAGAAGCTTTGTTTCGTAGAGGTAAACCAAGATGGCCGAACCATAATAAGGGAGCTTGGTAAGCTAAATCAACTGAGGAGGTTAGGCCTCTTAAAATTGAGAAAAGAAGATGGTAAGGCTCTGTGTTCGTCTATCGAAAAGCTAACAAATCTTTGTGCCCTGTCTATAGCTTCAGTCAAAGAAGACGAGATCATTGATCTTGAACACCTATCTTCTCCTCCTTTGTTTCTTCAGCGGCTGTACATGAGAGGACGTTTGGACGCATTGCCCCATTGGATTCCTATGCTCCCCAGCCTAGTCAGATTGTCTCTTAAGTGGAGTAGGTTAAAGGATGACCCACTCATCCATCTCCGACACATTCCTAATCTTGTTCAACTTGAATTAATTCAAGCATTCGTTGGAGACAGATTGTGCTTCAGAGCTGATGGGTTTGGGAAGCTCAAGATTCTATGCCTGGACAAACTTGATGAACTGAGATGCATAGAAGTGGAGAAGGGTGCAATGGCTTGTCTTGAGAAGCTAACTATTCAACGGTGTAAGCTCCTGGAGAATGTGCCTTCCGGCATTGAGCATCTGACAGAGTTGAAAGTTCTCGAGTTTTCTGATATGCCGGTGGATTTGATAAAGACGATTCGCACGGATGGAAAAGATAATTCCAAAATCTCGCACATCCCGGAACTTTATTCAACATACTGGAGAGAAGGGGGGTGGGAAGTCTACTCCATAGAGAGCATGACGGATGGGGAGTACTGTCCCCTGCCCAGCAGCCCCTTTAGCGATGAGCTTCAAACTCGTTGGAAGTCATGGAAGTAATACTTACTCATGCTGCTGGGACTGGGAAATGAGGCCTGTAGTACCAGTGTATATACTTGTATAAATAATACATGTAAATGAATACGTAACGCAATGCAGTTGGATCAGAGAGATTACCTTCGGGTTATAGAAGTAGGTAATCCGTAATGCCAGGGGCACTCGTGTACAGAATAACTAGGACTACGTTTATAGTAGTGGTCCTTAATGCCAGGGGCATCTGTTGTAAAATTAAGGTTATATTTACCATGTGTATACCAACTTCTAAGTGTATTTCTACTATTTTATCGGAGACTTTTTTATGTGTTGCAAGTCTGCTCGTTACAACATCATCTACCCGCTGTGCGGATGCCTTCCTGGGAACTATAAGATAATGTGTATGTTGCCGCACCCGATGTCCAACGCTTTAGGGGGTTAGGGTTGGACGTATGAGATGCTCAAGCTGTTCTTATGACAGCACAATCGGTGGGGAAATTTGTAGTTCGTTTTCCGGTAATGTTTTCGATTTGAAGCGAGTAACCGGATCCTATGGATTCCACTCTCTATCGCTGTATTCGGCCTGGTTCGTTCCTAATACGAGAGAACGAAATGCATGCAGCATTGCAGTTCAGTTCCGGTTCAGTTCCGGAACGCAAGGATGCATACTGTTTCTATGCTGTTATGCAGTGCGTGCCGTAAAACAGACACCAGTTTGGTTTGAAGTTTTACAGTCCTTTTCCGGTTATGTCACCAATAATTAAACGAAACTCTGTTGAAAAGATGAATGTATATTCAAAACATATCATAAGAACATCAGCAAAAGATGCTAATCAGCAGAAGCTGCTTTTCTCTCTCTCTCTCTCTCTATATTTTGAGCAAGAATTTGATCATTACAAGGTAAATGTGGAATCATATGTATCATCCACTGAGACCTGTCAAAAATTTCCAGCTAAATAACTAGCGCCCGCATGTCGAAATACATTTCCAGCTGGGGGGTTGAGCGCTGCCACCGAAATTTGCACTGCACAGCTGATGACGACTGCTTGCGTGTCTAATGTTGAAACATACAAACAGTCGTAAAAACAACGCCGATACATACAAATACACAAAAATTTGAGCCAAAAGGGTGCAATGTTTTTTTTTTACTGTATGTTATCTCCTAAATATACGAACACCCTTTTCTTAAATGCCCGAGCTAGGTCTACAATTTCAGACTCCCGCATCTGCCTTGTCATGCCATCAAACTTCTCACATATTTGGTCTTTTCGGGACAATCGGTTTGCAACATCAACAGTCAAGCTGGCCATGTCCCTGCTGTTTGTTAATAAACCCAAGACAGTGGCAGAATATGCTGGGTTTGAAACCAGCCTGTTAAGTAGGATAAGAGCCTCCCTCAACAGCAAGGTCCTGCACAACATTACTCTCACAATATGAGCAATAATTAAGAGATCGATAGGTGATTTTCGTCATGCAGATATACAGTCATGAATGTATTCCAGAGATATCACATGCATTCCTTGCAAGATCTGAAAACTAGGAACCATATGCTTTTTGTTCTTGAACACACCAACTGAACTACAAATCAAGTTAATAATACCAATGACAACAATATAACAAGTAATGTGAACTCATTTTAATGTCTATAGAGAGGAAAAAGAGAAATCAGAAACGGAGGACAGAAGAGGGGGGTGAAATTTGAATTACCGGAACCAGTATCACCAAGTTACTATGAGATATTTAGTGGCACTTGCAATAAACGAAAATTACACAACAATAGAATTTGGAAACTTAATGCTCAGTAATGAATGTGTGATACTTGCATCTATCAGAAATAAAAATCCAAGGGCATCAGCAATTACCTCTCTTTGAAAATCTGTGCTTGATCAGCATTGACTGCTGGTTCTGTATCTACCTCCGATGCCAAAACTTGTAAAATCAACATCAGAAAGTTTGCATCTCGAAAGAGCTTGTGACTCACAAGTATTTCGAAGCCAGATGCTCCAGACGAGGCTAGGAAAGCCAGTAAAAGAACAGCAATTCTGCGAAGTTTCAGTTCCTGAGTGTACAATAATAGGAAAGCAGTTGATATTTGGTAATGTATATCATCAAACATAAACCCTTAACTCTGCTCGGAGGTTTATGAGATGGGGGTTACCCATCTCCACCTACTATTGTGTAACACGCATAAATACATTTTCTTCCATAGAACACCAGATCAATTTACGCATTAATATACCTTCAAGCAGGGCAATAAACAAAAAATAAATTTCAAGGAAAGTGTAGAGCTGAAAAGGAGAGAAAAGCAGAGATAATGCCTACCTCTAAACTGTTCCCACAGCAAGCTATACAATCTGCCAATCCTTGAAGGATCATGCTACATTTTTGGTAACCTGATGCATCGCCTACGTTATCATCCATAGCAAGGGCAGCTTTCCCCTCTTTATAATCAGAACAGAACTTGACCAGTATTTTAGGACCTTCAAATCAGTAAGGAACCACAAGTTTTTCAGGGTTTAAGACAGGCATGAAAGAACAAGTTCAATAAGAATCAAGATAGCATACGTCAAACTCTAGCAGTCCTCAAACAATCTGATTTCAGCTGAGTGGTAAGCTGCTTAAGGTAGCACTAATGAGATAACATTTTCAGGCTTCCCACAACCGAAACAATCAGGCACTAAAAGGAAAAGGCAACAAGTTACACGTAAAAAAACCTACAAAGTAAGGTTTCGAGGTCGCAAAATGTTTTGAAAGCATATACTACACACTCTACAGTTTGAGAATAAATATATTTACTAGCAGAAAAGGTTTCAAGTATAGAAGAGGCTTTTTGAAAGCTATTGTGAAGGGATGGTTAAATTATGGGGCAACGTCAGATTTTGGCCAGCAATATGGCCATTGGTTTCTTCAGAGAACAGGAGTTAGCATTCTTTTCTACCCGAGCTGATTGCAAAGCTACAGTAGTTCAAAAGCCTCAAAAGTTACCATTAGAGTTTGGTTATTTGGTTCCCATTTTTCCTTTCAGATGCTTTATTACATTATGAGGTGGCTAGCTTCTCCACTGTGATATTACTCTGTTTCTCTACCAATAAAACAATGTTTCTTACAAAAACAAGAAAAACTAAATTAAACTACAAGTTGTTCGCCTAAGCTTCATGCAATTATAACACAAGTAAAAGAAAACAAAATAAAAAATGAACTAAAGTGATGTGGACTTACAATTCAGTAGCATATATAGAAGTTGCACGGCTTGTTTTCGGGCCTCAAAACCAGCTTCCTTTGCAAGCAACTGTGAAAGAATTTCAAACACCAGTGTTTGGCCAAACCTGTCTCTCATGGGACTTACACTCAGAAAAAGAGAAAAAGTTAACAGTATAAGTTTAACAAAAAAGGAACACTGCATTCTTACCTTTCTCTCTCCACAAAGGCATTACTTCTCATTATAATCATATTCATAACAGAGACTGCTTCTAGCCTTACACCTTGGTTTGTATTCTTCATGGTAGCTTGTAGGATCACCTCAAAGAGAGAAATCCAGTCTATATTAGAAAACCAAGTTGCAATGCCATTATTCCAAACTCCATTCTTGCTTTGACTTTCAGCATAAGAATATTTCATTCCAAGTCCCTCGACCATAACATTGACCCTGAGTAGAGTGCACTGGAAAGATCAAATCGAACAGGAATGAAGCATATGCGAAAACATGTATTCCTAGCTCCTGCAAAATAAAACCGGATATAGAAACAGAATAGGAAACAGCATATGACATATACCTTCTCTCAAAATGCCTTTCCAGCCTTACCAGGTGCCTCAAAAACACATGCAGTATATGTAGAGATGCCTGAACAATGATAACCTATGCCAAAAAAGAACTGATTCACCAAAAAGGCAACAAGAACCAAACTGAAAGAGATTAAGGAAATAATTACAATACTGAACTTAAGCAACGTCATTAAATAATGACAAACAAGAAGATTAAAGTATTCTCTTTATAATCGACTAGCCTCCTGCATATTAAAAATAAACCAGTCACAACAATGTCACTAACACCAATACATCCAAAACTCTCTACACCTATATTTTTTAAAACCATGGACCTATCACCTCCCAGCACTCAACTACAGACTTTTAATATTAGTGAGTCAATATTAGTACCGAAGATCCAAAGATGGATCAAGACAAGAGTATCCACCAGTATTTAAAAGACAATTACACATATCCAACTGAATTGAAGTTCCAAGACAATCTAATCCTAATCTGCAGGCCAGGTTGCACACAAAAGTGTGTAATGAGTTTTCTAGAAGATGCCTCCTATAGGAAGTAAACACAAAATTATATCCTCCCACATCTCAGAAAAATAAAATAAAATAAAAATTGCATTAGTGTTCTTATAAAAGAACATGTGATCCCAATTCATAGAGTAAATTTTAAAATCACTAGTAGAGTACTCTAGAGCAACGTCTACTCAAAAGTCCATGTGGAAAATACAAATCAAAATGGAACATCTAAGGTATACCAACCGGTGCAAGAAGTCAAATAATATCAATTCACAACTCACATTTTCAAGACTACAGAGGTTGAGTAATGGTTGAAACAAGGCCTCCAACTTTAACATTCCATTTTTTGCCTGCAATAAGAACAATCAACAGATACAATATTCATATACCCAGGTTAGCATAAAAAAAAGGGATAACATGTCCAGAACATCATATGAACATATTTTCTAAATTTTATTTATCTAGTATTCTTTAATTCAAGTTCCATGGGCCATGTATCAGTAAAGATTAAAGAAGTCAAAGTTTAATAAAGTATCGTACTAAAACCGGACCATGAGAAAACTTGGTGCAATAAGACAGTGTGTCCCTTAGAAAGTTGACTTTTAAATATATACAATTAACAATGATACACAAACTGTACTATTTACTTGGTTTTGAAACAAAAACATAGTGAGTAAACCCTCATATATGTACATCAAACCAAGCCCAACAACATACATACAAAGATGAAATAATTAAAGTCAAGCATTACAATGTAAATGGTCCCGGAACACCAAAACCTATCACAGCTTTATTTATTTATTTATTTTTTGTACCAAAACCTATCATAAAATAACTTGTGGCCAGATAGATTGGCATGTTAATTACCTTATTGGACAATTCAAATCCGTAATCATACATAAGTTAGCAAAACACGAGGACCGTATTTGATTAACAGCCTCTAAACAATACAAGAGGCCAATACCCTTTTTTGGTCTACAAATTCCCTATCCCTTAGCCATAATTTCTTTCTGAAATAGCCAAACATGATCATGGATCACCATGTCCAAACTAAAAACAAATACAAAAACCCAAAAAGAAACATCCTTCAACCTCCACCCTATTTTATTCCCAAACCAAATAATGATCTTTTTGAGGTTAAGTTAGGAATGTCTCAGAGAAAGTTCAGATCATTATCAGCACATCTATATTTCAGAATAAGTTTTAAGTTGCTTATTTGGCATATGCCTTGTATTCTAGGCTTGAAGAGGTTATACAATCTCAAGATATATCCTGCTTAAACGGATAAATGAAATCTCATGATTAAACAATACCTTGGTCAAGACAGAATAAAGATGAGAAACTTTTGCTGCTTCTGGAGTATGAGACATGTGTAAGTGGTACTGCGAAGCTGCAATAGAAGAGCTATCATCTCCCAGCTTGTCCATTCTATTAATGCCAATGCAGCCAAAAAGGAACAGGAAATCTGTTTGGCAATCCATAAGCAAATTCGAAATTACATTTCTTCCTAACTCTTGTTCATTTGAATCATTTGAAGAGCCCCAGATGGATAGTAATTTCTTTGAGAGGTCATCATTTGGGATTTGTCGGGCAGAAGCACTAGTTTCATCAGTTTGAACACTTGTAGCTTTAGAGGTTGACACACCTAGCACAAATGAACATAAATTAAAAGCGATGACAGAAAACAGAAAGAAATAAACGAAGATGATGTCTAACTTATCTCACCAATATCAATCCGAGAGCCAGGCTGACCACTTAAACATAATGCATTTTGAAATTGTCGAGAATCCTTATGATTGACTAGGACATCTCCAGATTCCTTAATGTCACGGGACCTTTTCCCACATGCAATAATGATAACAGAGAGTAAGATAATGTAAACATTGGACAAGCACCCTTTCAGCATGATCAGCATACTATGCAAGGTGCAACAGACTGAAACATCATTTTAGAATCACAGCATATATCGTTGATGCCCTGTGATGGAAAGAGTTTATACTTACAAATTTGTACCATCAGAGTTCCTAGTAGCTGCTTCTTTCTTTTCAGTCATTGAACTTACAAATTTACGATGTTTGTCCTTTTCCTTCCTTAGTTCAAAGCATTCTTGTTCCTGTGAGTATAGGACAATTCGTTGCATACAGGAACTTTAACCACAAATAAATCTCAAAGACAAAAATGCGAGCACACACACGTAGACGAAAATGATAAGTATATGGAATTCTGTTATTGCCATTTGCCAGTTATAAAACCATAAAAACTCACTTAAGCATGAACACGTAATTCCAATTCTTCAATACAAAAGAAATGTAGAAAACAGGACTAGAAAGCATTCCATTATCGGAAAAAGTACACAAGGACTAACGACAGAACAAATAAACAAAATAAAACAAAACAAAACAAAAGCACTAATCTTGTTATTATCCGGCGCACAATTATTCAATTACAGTGGCAAACAGACGTACCAAGTGCAAAAGCTGCTTTGAGACACGTCCCAGTTCTTCCTGCAATTAAAATCCAACAAATTCGAGTTAGAGGACTTTGAAAAGAGAACATAATATTGGGAAAATGATTAAAATCACAAAGAAACTGACTGTATACAATTCTTGAACCCAGGTCATAACGTAAGGTAATCGAAAAGTCATGACAAAATATAATTCAAACTAAAACTACGGAGTTCAAAGAAGCAGAAGGAAATATATTTCATAATATTTGTATCAAATATCAAAAGTTCTTGGGCAAAAATATGATTTCTTGACATAACTTATTCCTGCATTTTGACAGAAACCAAACAAATCTTTAGTTAAATGTGACCAATTTGTTACAGTTTAATACACCGAATTCGTTAGCATATATATATATATATATATAGAGAGAGAGAGAGAGAGAGAGAGAGAGAGAGAGAACATATATGTACAATTTAAACATTGAAGCCCTAACCTTTAAGCGGTCGATTTCGAGTTCTTTTTCTCTGTCAACTTCAGGACGGCTAGCAGAGGGAGGCAATGCTGAAGAAGGAGGCGAAGGAGAAAGGGAAATTGCAAATGCATTGGTGGTGGTGGTGGTCCTCTGAGTGAGCTCTCGCGGAGGGGAGTAGGAAATGGGCCTAACGGGATTGGAGTAAGAAGGCGGGGGCGGCGGCTCTTGTTGGTGATGGTGATATTGCGATGGTTCCGAGAAAGAATGCGGAGGAGTTTGGTGGTGGTGCGGCGGCGGGTGATGCTGCTGCTGAGTAGAGTAAGCACGCTCTTGTACTTGGGCGACTTGTACGGCTTGTTCAGTGAAAATTAAGTCCCAATCGTCGTCGTCGTCCAGTTGGTTCATCTTCTTCGATTGATTATTTTCTTTTGAGTGGAGACTGGACAAGAACCGCCATTGCCCCAGGAAAAGGCTCCTAATTTAAGGGCTCTCGTTTTTCCGCTTGCCAAGTTTCAACTTGGGGAATTTTCCGTACAAATCCCAAAACGGGCTTTTACATTTTTTTTTTTTTTTAAGTACATCGATATTTTACACTAAAGAAGATAGAGTTCAGCTAAGCCATACAATGAGCAACCTAATTTGATATCGAATTCGTCATTCAGGAGATTCAAATCTATAATCACCGTAGTACTAAGCGGTAATGTCAAGAGACCAGATTTTTTATTTGATAATAATACTTCTCGGTAAAAAAATGCAATTGGTGGAAGAGGAATGTCTTCTTGGTAACTTGCAGGGCCATTTCTTATTTGTGTTTTTAGGTTACGTTATATCTAAGGGTGGGCGTAGTTCGGTTTGATTTGATTTGAATAAAAATATGGCTGAACCAACTAGCATTTAATGGACCGTTGAAACTTTACCAAATCACGCAATTGTTAATCGGTTTCATTCTGTTGATTTAAGCTTATTCTAACATGTCGATGAAAAATGTCCAACATTTCAAGAGTTAATTTATTACACACATTCCAATTCAATCAAAAGATCAAGTTTTTGAATATCAAAATTTTATCAAGTCGGTTAAGACTAAGTTCCAATGAAATCTGGTGCTAGCAAATGATTTATTGGTTACAATCTCACAAACGAATAAAACACAAAAAAGTCTCATAATTGTGACACGTGTATGGTAAGAGTTCCAAATAAACTATAATATGGAGAGCAAACAAATATTAAAAAATTTAAAAATTTATGATCGACTCCTTTTGGTTTTGGTCGGTTTCAAAAGTACTAGCCTTCGTGCACGCGATTACGTGAGTGCAGAATATATTTTTTTAATCACGACGTGCTATGCACGACTTACACGTTTTAGATGTATTTATATGCGTGAATTGACAAAAGAAAATTCAAATATTTGAAGTAAATGAATAATCTTAGATCATGCTAGAAAGCAAACCCCTCATAAACCAATCAAAGCAACTAAATTCACATAATAAAATCAGTCTTTCAATTTCAATATACATTTTATTGAATTTACATTAAGAATAGAGAAAATAATATTTAATAAACAATTGATTGAATCACATTATTGCTAGCATATTGTGAGACTAAGCTCACCCCCCCTCCTCCTTAGTGCAAATAATATCGTCTGTTAAAAAAAATTAAAAAAAAAAAAAAAAAAAAAACCTCACAAACCAATCAAAGCAACTGAATTCATCTAATAAAATCGGTCTTTCAATTTTTATCTATATTTTATTGGATTTACATTAAGAATATAGAAAATAATATTTAATAAACAACTGATAAGGGGAATCCTTAGAATTACCACTGCTCAGCTTTCAATTCGCCTCTGACCATCAAATGAAATGTGAATAACCCGTCCTCCTCTCTTTGAAACAAGGGGCACTTCTGGGTCTGTAGGTGCTTGGAATCACATTATTGTTAACCTATTGTGAGGTTAAGCCCATCCCCTCCCCTTAATGTAGATAATATCATCTGTTCGGAAAAAAAAGAAAAAGAAAAAAAAAAAAAAAACCTCACAAACCAATCAAAGCAGATGAATTCACATAATAAAATCGATCTTTCAATTTCCATCTACATTCTATTGAATTTACATTAAGAATAGAGAAAATAATATTTAATAAACAACTGATTGAATCACATTATTGATAGCTCATTGTGAGGCTAAGCCCACATCTCCCCTTTAGTGTAGATAATATCGTTTGTCAAAAAAAAAAAAAAAAAATCATTTGACAACTAATTTAATCACATTATTATGCGCGTGCGAAAGACTTTTTTTATAACTGGCATTACATGCCTTTTAAGATATTTTGAACATGTTTAAAAATAAAGAAAATAATATTTAATGAACAACTGATTGAATCATATTATTGATAGCCTATTGTGAGGTACTAATTTAAAAAATAAATAAATAACTGTACAAAAAGAATTAATTATTAAAAATATTGTTAAAATGACAAAAATACCACTTCATTATTTGATGCATTATTTTGGGTTGCTTTTGAATTTTTTTTGTTTTGGGGGCATTTGTGTCCAAAATTTTTTGATGAAGTTTGTGATCCCAAAAGAAATTGTTGACTTTATATATAAAAGATATCAAAACCCAACCAAATATAAATAAAGTGGTTTGGTTGGCATGGTATGATAATGGTAATTACCATTTTTTTTTTTTTTTTTGCCACTCTTTTGGGCCAAAATTTGGTTTTTTTTCCAACTCAATTCAAGGCCCAAACGTGTTTTGATCGACTCCCTTTGGGTTTCTAAAACCCTTTTTTATTTAATTATGAGAATTTTATACATATTCATTTAAGAAAAAAAAAAGTAAATAGATGAAAGAACCCAGCATCCCTAAAAAAAATAGTACAAAGATCCTAAATTCCATCTCTACATTCTTTAAAATTGTACAAAAATTAACTTGATAGACAAAGCCAGGTGGAAAGACAACCCAATTTGATGAAGGAGAAGATGAGATGGACTACGGACAGAGTGACTTGTCGGAACGGGAGCAATGGAGATGAAGTCGATGACAAGATGAGTAAAAAGATGAAGTCGCAACGGCAAGAAGGCTTAGGTTTTTTTTTATTGGAAAAGTAAAGGTTAGAGGGTGAGAGGATGGTTTTGGATAAATGACTAGAAAAAAAATATAATGATACTAATACCTAATTGTATATATATATATATATATATATATAAATGAATAAATAAATTGTATAATATTAATAGTAGTTGTACGGTACGGTATACCATTGGTAACGATTTTGAATACTATTACTGTACCAAAAATGTATGGTAGGTACAAATACCGTACCATTACCAATGGTACAAATTTTTCGGCACAACTTTGGTATGGTAATTTGGCAACAAGTGACCAAAACTAGCACTAAGATGATAGTGCTAGTGTCAAGTTATATTCTACTTTATAGATGAGCTATGCACAATAATTTATTATTGAACTCACGATCCACTTGAAGCAAACTTAACACCCAACAAGTGACGAGAACTAGCACTAGGATGATAGTGCAATTTTAGTAAAAATTAACTTGATAGACGAAACCAAGTGGAAAGACAACCCAATTTGATGAAGGAGAAGATGAGATGGACTGCGAGTCGCCGAAACGAGAGCAATGGAGATGAAGTCGATGACAAGATGAGTGAAAATATGATGTCGCAACGGCAAGAAGGCTTAGGTTTTTTTTATTGGGAAAGTAGAGGTTAGAGGGTGAGAATTTGGTTTTGGATAAATGACTAGAAAAAAAATATATAACGTGCATATATAATGATAATAATACCTAATCATACATATATATATATATATGAATAAATAAATGATATAATATTTATAGTAGTGGTATGGTATGGTATACCAATGGTAATGGTTTTAAATACCATTACCGTACCCAAAATGTATAGTACGATACAAATACCGTACCATTACCAATAGTGCAAATTTTTTGGCACAACATTGGTATGGTAATTTGTCACATCCCAGGCTTGACTCCACCGTAGCACGATATTGTTCGCTTTGGGCTCCCACCACGCTTTAACAAAACTCACATGAGAACTTCCCAGTAGTTCACCCATCCTGGGCGCCCGAACTCGCTTAACTTCGGATTTCCAATGGAACTCAAAGCCAGTGAGCTCCCAAAAAGTCTCGTGTTAGATAGAGATACGAATATACATATAAGGCTTACAGGATCCACTCCCCTAAATGATGTGGGATGTTACATAATTTGACAAAAAAATTCCACCCCTAATAAGGCATGAATTAAGATGAGCTATGCACAATAATTTATTATTGAACTCACGATCCACTTGAGGCAAACTTAACACCCAACAAGTGACAAGAACTAGCACTAGGATGATAGTGCTAGTGTCAAGTCATATTCTAATTTAACTAGTGTGTTGACTCCCCTCCTTGTGATTACTTATCTTATCAAAAAGTTGATTGTTTGGTAAAAATAGAGCATCTTCATTATTTTAAAAGCACTTGAATCTGATTACAAAGGAAAAAAAAAAAGAAAAAAAAAAAAGCTTGAATTGTAAATAAAAAGATTTTATAATAAAAGCACTTGGTAGCAAAAACACTTGAGCAACGCCGCTTTCATAGCATAGCATTGGGCACCTGAGATTGCAATTTTGTTAAAGCTGAATTCTAAATGTTCAAAGTTGGCAAACGTGAGGGTCTAAAATGCAACAAACCCTAATCCAAAAACTACATGTCACACATACTCTGAAGCAATTTTACCCGTTTTTGGTAAGTCAATGTTATCGCATCACTAAAAATACCAATCAAGTAATCAGACCACAAATGCAAAGTGCTCTGGGGCACAACAGATGCACACACTCACTGCAAAAACTAAAGGTTTTTAAATTCAAACCATCGTCCCCATCAGCGAGTAACGGAACATGAAAACGTTGACTGAGAAGGAAAATGAACTAGTACCAGTAGAGAGAAGGAGAAAATCGTTAAAACTAACGAAAGATGCATAAATGTAAGGTATCTAAGGAAAGAAAATTCAGAATACAAAGTTATAACGCAGCGTGTTTAATTGACTCACCATGTCTCTAGGCATGCCACTATAAAATGGAATATTACTCCCAAGTGCAGTACACAAGGCTGCTCCTTCCAGGGAAATGATTCAACAAAAAAAGCATCACCAACAAGAAAAGCAGCATAAAAGAAGTAGGCCCAAGGTGTTCAATCAACCGAAGATCTGTGTTTCCTGGCCGCCTTTGCATTTTGAAACACCCCCCCCCCCTTTTTTTTCCTTTTTTTTTTTTTCTTTTTTTTCCGGATCAGGAATTGTTACACTAGGCAGAAAATAAAGCAAGAGGCGACTCACGATGCAACCAAATCAGGTGTTTCCGCCTCGATAGATAACAAAGCAGCATGGACTTTCTTCAACCAACTGTCCAACCTATCACGCAATGATTTGACCTGTGAAATCCCCAAAACTCTTGGCTGCACCCAGGACACATGCACCGTCTCCTCGACCTGATCGATTATTCCCTCGATCAGATGAACCTGCATTCAGCATCTCTCTCATAATTATTAAATAGAAAATAGAATGAGAAGAACACTTTCTAACTACAGAATTAGGGAATAAAAGCAGCTTACACCCTGCTTGTCTGCGATATAAAACATCCAAATGCAAATTAGATTAACAAAGGAACTACCATAAACCATATGACACGTAATAATAACAAAATCCTAACGTATTCGGTTTCCTTTTATTTATAAAATTAACAGTCCCAACTCCCAAGTCAAAAGAAAACCATAACCTCACCACCCCCGCAAAACAAGAAAAAACTCCGGTTAATTACTTCCCTGTTAAGCCAGAAACTACTACCTTAAGTCTTCCCCTTGTTACAACCATTGTACAAGACAGCTATACAACTACAAAACCATTAGATGCAATAAAGGCCTTAAATTTATTGTCTGCAACTAAACTGTATGTAAAATAATATTACAAATAAAAGAATACTCATTTGCATGTCACATGCTGCATGCTGCATGCAACATATAATACATCGTATGTCAGTTATATTGAACTGAAAGTGTGGAACCCACTGCATAAGTGCAAATAAGGTTTGAATGGCCAATCCCATATACATAGGATATAACGTCTCAAACGTGTTCGTGTAATCATAAGCTTCTCATTTTTTAAATATTATTTTCCTATTTTGAATGTACGAGTTATAAAAATATCACTAGTGAGTACTTAATCTTTACTTTGTACTATAATCTTTACTTTGTACTAAGGCGTGCATTGAGAACTGTCGTCATAAAACCAGTCTTCCTTATCGGTAAAGCTTTAGTTTGGACAATCCAAATAAATTCACTGTTCATCAGGTTTAAGAATACAGGAACTTACAGAAAGGCTCTTCACAAGAAGATGCTCCACATCCTCGACCGAAAGTTTGGTACGCTCTGCAATGATACTCAATGGTATAGTTCGATCTTCAGCTGGCCGGCTGCAAGGAACATATCGACTTGGTGAATCATAGTTCAAAAAACACACCTTTGTCACGGATTACAAGAGAAAGGACAATCTAGAACACACAAACCTGAAGATAATTTCCATCAAGCACAGAATGTTAATCTTCTCCAAAAGCTTATTCTCATTATCAACTAATGCCGGTTGTGCTCTCAGAGCAGCATTGTGCACACGGCATAACTCTTGATACCGAACTAAATCACCAGAGTTGAACGCTTGAAGAATATAGTAAAGCCACTCTACCTTTGTCCCAAGAAGAGACTTAATCTGCACAGATTGTTAAAAGATGTCATCCATTAAAAAAGAAAAGAGCAGCACAAATAACTTAGAATAATGTAGCCTACACACTTCAGAAGAAACACATGCGAACTACATAGAAACTTTTTAGGTACGTAATTAGTATCTATATAAGCATCCTTGGTAGGGTGGAGAAGGAAATTCAGATCCTAAAACCACACGGTTCACTAAACCATTATGCAAACCCAATGCAAAAGATATCATGTAAAAAGAACAATGCCTGCACATATCATACAAAGCTCCAGGCAACTAGGTTGGAGACAACAAGCACTTCATGATAGTCTACAGCAGTTGAAATCAAAAGTAATTTATCAGACTCCAGCTGGGGAAGTGAAAATAAACCAAAGTAAAAAAGGGTATATGAATGCGGTAATAACTGGTGACTGTAGAGTGTATGATGAATAGCAGTATTAACAAGACTGCATTGCGAATCTACATACAGGCTTAGTTGAGCATACGTGACTTAGTTTCTGATCAATTTCAAATCCAATGTCCTAGATTGGTGCAAAAATATTTCCCACAAAGTAACAAAAACACCTTGTGCATTTTGAAAGGGAACTCTTCTACGTAACATGCGTGCATGAGAAGCAAAATATTATGAAACCAAATAAGAAACTCTGCAAATGTTCTTACAATAGGATGCGCAAGCAGCTCTCCAAAGTTGTAGATGTTATCTCCCAGGAGCGCAGAAAGGGACAAATCAAATGCCAGATCCTTAAATACGACGAGAACAACCAAGCCGTTAAAAATTGTCATGGATTAAACAAAATAAACTACCAATCAGTCTTAAATTAAAAAGTGACCACATATGAACAGTTGACTCATAGGAATCTGAAAGATAAATATTACCATTGGCAGAGGCTATCACTCATGCCCTAATCACAACTGTTCAAATGCGTACTGAACCAGTAAAAAATAAAAAGTCTGAAATGATACCCTTAATTACTATGGATTGACCAGAGTCAATGTTCAAGGCAGCCTGCACACTACAAGTGCACTTAGCCAAGTTAATGGATTCTCCTAGAAGGGTACTAACATGTAATTACAAATCTTTCCAGTTCTTGCGAACCAGAAATCCCCAATTAACTGACAGAAAAAGAATTGAATGCATTTCTCCTCTTTCATCCAGCCATGCTACAATAAATAAAATTTATACTACATTTCTCTCAAGAACATAAAAGGTTAATCCTATTTCACATTTGTCTACCCAATAACACCTCCACATTAAGTTGTATTCTCTAAACTACCCTATTAAAATTATGGTTACGATCATATTGGTAACTGACCATGCAGGAAGTAAAAGATTTCAATTCACTTTATTCTTATGGAGTAAAAGGTTTATAAGACAAAGCCTGCTTTCAAATGGCTTGGAAGATTTGAATCCAAGCACGGAATACACAAATTATAACCCTTGAAGCAGAATTTGTGTCTACACAAACTATTAACCTGCTGCTGTAAATACAAAACTAGTGATTTGGTGAAAGCAAGCCAAAACAGTTTAAATAAGTACATGTGTACTTAAAGGATCCTGAAGACAGGAATACTTTTAGAAGACACGATTTGTTGAGGGAGATGCAATCACAAGAAATGGAAGATATTTAAATTTAACAAACCATTCGTCACTAGTATGTAAGTGCAACTACAGATTTCAAGCCTTCTTGTAACATAACATTCAAAAATAATGATGGGATGTAGAACCTAGGAATAACTGCACAGAAAATGGATCATGAATAAGAGTATAAAAGCATACCAGCTTGAATGATTCTGAGAGAGACTCCACTGATGTGTATGCCAGATAAAGAAGAGCACTTTTGTAGAACTCAGCAAATTCTTGACGGAACTTATGATATTGAGATGACACCCAATAATAGCTAGCATACACAGATGGATCGATATCAGTCATACTGTCAAGTGTAGTCTTTCCATCTTCTAGAAGCTTTTTGCAACCTTTTTGGTCTTGTTGTTCAAGTTGGAATATTGCTATTTGCATCTTAATGTAAAGGATTGGCTCCTCTATGCGTTGCTCTCTAGTGGCTTGAAGCTTCTCAATTACCCCTTCTAGGTAACTGATAGCAGCTTCCTTCTCTGGGTACTGTCGAGAAACAATGACTGCAAAGTGTGCAAGCTTGAGAAGGTTGATTTTAGTCTCAAAATCGGTGATGAAATTGTGGTATAACTGTATCAGAGCATCACCAGCCTGATATTCAATAATAGGAAACGAAAGTCAGATGTGGGAAGAAAGGACACATCCAAGAAACAGAAACTTCATACTGGAATGCTTTCCATTTCAAGAAAAAATACAACTTGTACACGCATCCACAGACATATTACTAGCAATTAGTATTAAGAGATCAACATAATGCCACCAATCAAACCACAATTCAACAATTCATGAATTCAATGATTCAAGAAAAAATGTGCCAAGTTAATGAAATTCTTCATGCAAATGAATTACATGATTAAACATAGAACCAGTTAAATCCAATGCTAATTGTCTTTGTACTTTTTATCAATGGTATTGACATGTTTGGTCAAGTAATTGAGAAGTGTAACCTAATTTCATTTCACGGTGCACATATTTGTGACATAGCATTATCCTAGTTAAAATAAAGACAGATTTCAAATTAAATTCATTACGGCACACAACCTTAACATGTAACATAGCTACATGCAAATGAAACAGCTTACTTCGAACAGTTTCAAACCCACTTTGCTCGCAGACAAATAACTGTAATTGGAATGAGTTCAAACGGAAATTAAACCCCCAAAAAAAAAAGCACCAGCCTATGGCCCCAATCTAATCATTTAAAAAACTAGGATAAAAAAAAAACCTAATTACTCCCAAAGAAGAAAACTCAAAAGCAGAATCAATGGATTACCAGTTCTTGGACCTCTAGTTCCTCAAATTACTCGAAAAAGAGTCAAACTACAACAAAGGCAAAAGCTTTCAGAGATTTACACTACAGTTTCACTTAATGCAACCAAAAGCATAAAATTTCCAAAGATCTTTTCCCTAGTAACTTCTGCATCTTCTCCAGTACGAATCACGATCTACAACCCAAGTGAGAACAAAACTAAATAGAATAATATCAAACACCAAAAAAAAATACCCTAGTTCCACAAAAGAAAAACACTAATTTTCCAATCCAAAACCCCATTTCCAATTAATTTCCCCTAAAAACCCTAACTCAGCATCAAATCCCAAAGCCCACTTGAAGCCCCAAACTAACGATTTCACAAACCCTAAATTTCCAGCAAAATTGCCGAACTCAGAGTCACCCATTCCGATACTCAAGCATCAAGGAAACCCAAAATTGGGGGTGGGAAACAGACCTGAAAGACGGAGAGAGCAACAAACTGCTCGAGCTTGAGAGTGAGCTGGTGCCATAGCTTCCTTTGGTACAGATCTGCAAGTGAATTGTACCATTCGGCGAGCTCCGGATGCGCGTTGCGCAGCGACTCCAGGTACTGCAGCGCGGCCATGGCTGGTTCAGAGAGAGAGTTTGCGAGGGTTGGAAACCCAAGGCCTTGTTTGGTTCGTATTTATATGAATCGGAAAAAACACCTTATTTAGCTTGTGCTCAAAGAAAACAACACCAAAGTTGACGGAGACTTTGGGGGAAGACGGCAATACCAAGTTGGGCCGGGCCTTGCCGGGTCGGGTATAGGTTAAATACCCAGAGAATTTGGGATGTGCAAAAAGTGCATTGGTACAGAATCCTGAATTTTTAAGTGGCCCCAAAATTTTGTATCCTCCTGTATATTACATAAGTATAAATATTCTAATAAAAAATATTAACTGGAAAAAAAATCATCATCCTTTGATTTTATCTACAGTACACTTGAATACTTGATTAAGTGGAGCTTATAATTTTTCTCTAGCAATTAAAAAACATGTGTATTACTTGCCATACAACTGGCAACAAGAAGACAACCAATATGGCTTTTGTCCCTCCACTGATTGCTACAATTTCCACATCTATTTTAGGCCATCTCCAACCGAGGGCTGGCCAGAGCTCGTTTTAACCCTCTGATCCTCCAAGATATTAATATTTTAATGAACAGTACAGGGCCATATTTACCTCTGTCTCCAATCGAGGGCCAAAGAGCCATAGGGCTCGTTTTAGCCCTATTATAAAAAACCGTCTCCAACCGAGGGCCATAGGGCCAAACATAATTTATTATTTAAAAACTACAACTTAAATTCAAATCCAACAGCTAAGTGACGTCAACTAGCCGTTGGTAGCTGACATCATGCTAACGTTAGCTTACCTTTGGATTTGAATTTTTTTTTGCTATAAATAGGGTGGATATTGGACTATAATTCACACAATTTTGAATTCAATCTATTTCAATTCAATCTTGTTCAATTCAAGTTTGCAATGAATTCCAACTTTGGATCCTCTTCGGATTCCAACTGGGAATTCCAACTTTGGATCCTCTTTAGATTCCAATTGGGGGTCCTCATCCAATTCCAAATTGGAAGCAAAATGGGCACAAATGAGACGACAAGATGAGGAGTCTGATGAAGAAGTTCAAGTAAGGCGCAACAAACAAAATATAGCAGCAGCCATGGCTGCGGGCATGGTGTTTCAGCCAACTGAGGGACAACCTCAATGGGGTGGCTCTGTTACTAATCACTCTTACAAACCACGAAACAGAGCAATGATTTGTGTCAATCTGATGAACATCTACTTCATCCCCAACTCGGTGTACACAGAAGAGAATTTAAGACGTCGTTTTCGGATGAGGAGTCATGTCTTCGAGTGTTTACTTCGTGATGTCCAGCAGGTCAATCCATACTTTCGACATAAGTGGGACAGAGCAGGCCACCCTGGTTTCTCACCTCATCATAAGGTTACTATTGCACTCCGAATGATGGCTTATGGCTCCCCAGCTGGTTCGATGGATGAAACCCATGGTATGTCTGAGTTTACATGCCTTCATACTCTTGAACAATTTTGTGACACAATTTTTTAGGTTTACAAAGACGAGTACCTCCGCGAGCCAAATCAAGAAGATCTAAATCGGCTCATTCGCAAACTAAAGACCATGGGTTTCTGGGCATAGTAGGGTCATTAGACTGCATGCATTAGGATTGGAAGAACTGTCCCACCAGATATCAATAAGGCTTTAGCGAAAGGTCAAGAAAGCCAACTGTTGTGTTAGAGGCGGTTGCCTCATATGACACATGGATCTGACATGCTTTCTTTGGAGTCCCTGGATTCCAAAATGACATTACAGTTCTTGGGCGTTCACCCCTCTTCAATAACTTGACGGAAGGTAAAGTACCTTAACTTGACTACTACATCAATAACCGTCAATACAATATAGGGTATTATTTGGCAGATGGCATCTACCCAAAGTAGGCAACACTTGTCCAAGCAATTCCAAACCCTAGAAATGACGCAGAAAAGTTGTTTACCTTACACCAAGAGGCATACCGGAAAGATGTTGAGAGAGCTTTCGGTATTCTATAAGCACGATGGAAGATCATCAACGAACCGACAAGAGGGTAGAGTCGAGAAAATTTGGACTCCATCATGCTATCTTGCATCATATTACACAATATGATAGTGGAGGATGAGCGAGATGGATATATTGATGGAAAGTCTGATGACGACCAAGAAGATCCAAATAGGTTAAGAAGGGCTTGTGCAAAAATATATGATGGGCCTAATTTGCTTTTCAATCCAAGAACTGGTAGTATATAAATAAGTACACGAGAAGCTATAGAATGATACGTTCTCGTGCCACAAATAAGTATCTACAACAGGATCTTGCTGCACATCTTTGGGCCAAAAGAAGCATAGAGTAGGCGTTTAAGTTTTATGTTGTTAAAAATGTTGTTTAAGTTTCATGTTGTTAAATTTTTTTTTATGTTGTATAATTTGTATGTTGGTTAATGTTATCTAATGTTGTTTCATATTGTTTAATGTTGTTTCATGTTACTTAATTTAATTTAATGTTGTATAATGGCTTAGGAAGTTATAGGAAAAAAAATATGAAACAAATTTTGTGAAATAGAAGTTATAGGAAAAAAAATATGAAACAAATTTTGTGAAATAGAAGTTATAGGAAAAAAAAATAGAATTTAAAATAAAATGAAACAAATTTTGTGAAATAGAAGTTATAGGAAAAAATGGAATTTAAAAAAATATGAAACAAATTTTGTAAAATAAAAGTTATAGGAAAAAATAGAATTTAAAAAAAATTTTGAAAAATAGAAGTTATAAGAAAAATTTTGTAAATAAATAATAATAATAAAAATGTAAAAAAAAAAATATTCAAATGCAACAGCTAGCTGACGTTAACTAGCAATTGCATTTGAATTTTAGCTTAAGCATTCATGTTGGTTATAACCGACATGATTAATGTTTTTTCTGGCCAGCCCTTTGGCTCTTTCAGATTCCGTGGGGCCCTCTCAGATTCCATGAGCCCTCGACCTAGCTCTCGGTTGGAGATGGTTTTTGGGCTATTTTCGGCCTTCTGGCCCTCTGGACTCTTCAGTTGGAGATGGCCTTAGGACTTCATAGAGACTTGAGTAGACTGATAACAATCCCAGACTTACTCCACTTTTCTTCAGCAATAAAAACTTAACATGTGTATTACTTTCTTCCACAAATACAAGTGTATTTCTATGTGTATCTTTTAGTCATGCTCTATTTTTTCATGGTGATCATGATTCATGGCAATTGGACATTATTCAATTAGTAAAAGTGAGATGCCGATTCCATTAAGTTTGAACTTTGTATGAATATATTTTCCAATAAATTATTATTTAAATAAGGAGGGATTTTTTTAACTTCACACAGGACTCCAAAATGTCAGAGACGACCTTGTTAACTCCTATTTGTACAAGTGCACCAAAAAGAATACTATTTGCTCACGCACATCTTATTTCCTTATTAGTGTTATGTTAATTTGTCATTTATGTTTAATTTATAAAGTAGGTGGGTGTAGCAGCATTCAGATTAAAAAAAAAAAATGAGACCTAACCTCGGTTTAAAGGAATGTTATTGTGATGGTATTACATATCGTTGATGCCTTATCACGTGTCTTATAGTTACATGATGTCAAATTTTTAAGGAAACATATTTGAATGAAACTATTATCACATTGATATTGACCTCAATTTGCATCTGATCACGGCCTATATAGCATGGTAGGTGTGGAATTTTAGAAGGGGGGAACTTTGGTGTTATTTATCAGATATTTATTCTCCTTCTTCACACGCATGATTATTTCTATCATATAATTTTTCTTTGTTTTATTCGACCAAAGGCTAGAAATAAACTGAAAAATGAGAAAATCCCTGTGATAAATCATTTCCCTTAATTGTGTGGAAACTTTTACCTTTGCCCATCACAACCACCCCACATTCTGACTCCTCTACCACTCCAACATCACTCAAAAAAGGAGAGTTCCTAATATAATGTTTTTGACAGTTTTAGCTAAATTTTGGGAGAGCATGATGGAGATGTTCATGTAGGAATGACATCTATATTGGAATGTCAATAACATTTTTCTTGCACTAACTTGTTTTAATAATTTAACATTTATCCTCATGTGCAAGAGGGTCCAGTTATAATACTAAATCTAACTCGATGGTACTAGTTTTATGCAAAATTTAACCGTTGTAAATGTCAATCTAATCGTTGATTTTCTACCACACACAAAAGTACATACACAGAAATAAAAAAGTGGGTAAACCACTTAGACTCTAGCAAAGGATATTATGCTAACTTGTAATGAAAGTGATGCGCTTTAAAGTCTACTAACAGAATCATTTAACCACCAAACGCTAATCAAACCCACAATTATTAGGCACCACCCAACTAATATTATATAAAGTGTAGGTATTCCACATTACTACTCATCGCTTATTATTGGTCCATACCTAAATTGACTACTACAAATAGGGAGAACAACTTACACGTCGTTGTAACGTCTCGTACGAATGATATAATGTCAAATTGAGAAAAGTTTATGCACACCGTTGTATCATTGGTAAGATTATCAGGATGACGATAAGTTTTTCAGTGTTCCCGGAACACGGCCCAGTACATACAATTGGTTGAAATAATTTTTTTCAAATTTCCAACCAATTGTATTAATATACTTAATGTGACGGGTTGTGTTTCATATACACTAAAAAATCTCTCAACGATGTCAATATACTCGTGTGACTTAATGTGATGCAATGTAAAAGGAGGCTTGATTTATAATATTATTGGGTCTTGACTTCCAACCAAAGCAAAGTTTCACTTTTTCTAGCTCTTTATATTTGAAACACGCTCCACTTCTCTGCAGATCATCACATTGAGAAACAAAACTGATTGATATATAGAAGATCAGGATGGCATCAATATCATCATCGGCTGCAACACCCTTTAATTTTACTCTTTTGATGTTGCTCATCATTTTTGCCTTCTCAATACCATCAGCAGCAGCAGCAGCCATGGAAGGAGGAGCAGCAGCACTTGTTCATCAGCTTGAAGTTGATCAGGAAGGACACAATGATCACGTCAAATTGCACGGCACCGCGAAGAAGGAGACATGGCAAAGGAAGACATGGATGAATCACGGAAGCTTTCGTAGTCCCCGTAAACACCTTGATTCTCCGACACTCCACCTTCCATTCCAAGCTCGAGAGTTCCCTGTTTAGCGAGCTAGTTCATACATGTAATATGCATAATATGTATGCCCATATGTATGAAGGTTTTAAATTTACAACTATTTACACACACACACACACACACACATATATATATATTTGTCGGATCTGTATATATCCCGTATATCTATCGATTTTAATAACTGTTTAATAGAAAAGTAGATTGTTTTCATATTTTATTCCGCTTCGCTTGTAATTGGTAAGAATCACGGCCACGTAGTGTCTTCAGTACATGAGACACAATATAGAACTCTCAAGACCTTCATCTGCACTCTGCAGCCAAGTCGGCTTCTCAACTTTGTCAATTATGTGGTTTGCTACCTATATGCTTAATGTGAACTCACATCAAATAACAGTGAACAGAAGCCTCTAAAGATAATTACGTGGGTAAATCTAAACTATTATTGAGAGAATCCCGCTTTTTTTTTTTTTTTTTTTTTTTGAAAGTGAGAAATTTCATTAATAAACAAAGCAAGAAACATCAACGATCAGGAATCAAATTCCAAGCTTACAAAACCTAAGCTTTCCAAACCAGATCCAGAACCATAAAGACTCAAAAGAAACACAACAAACCAAAACCAGACGACAAATCAAACATAAAATCTCTCCTCACAAAGCGAGAGAGCAACTCGAACACAATCCCAAACAGCAACCCAACGCAAACCCCGCTTGTATTAAACCTTACAGGAGACGTAAGAATAATTTTATAAATTGGAACATAATTATTAATTAGCCTGCCTAAACCTCGGTTAAACATCAATTTGATGGTTCAGTTATAAACGATACTGCTGCTGCAAATTTCAGTACTGTCAAAACTTAAGCTCACAAAACTGCTAATCAAATTCCGAGCTTACAAGTCCAACGTCGACAGCGGATCCACACCTAACTAACAAGGTAGACAAGCTCACAAAACTTAAAGCTTCCCGAACCGGATCCAAAACTGTCAAAGACTCAAAAGAAACACAACAAACCAAAACCAAACGACAAATCAAACATAAAATCTCTCCTCGACAAAGCGAGAGAGCAACTCAAACGCAACCCCACTTGTATTATCATAAATGATACTGCAGCTGCAAATTCGGTACCAAGAAACTCAGTTCAGTGACTGCCAGTGGCGGAGCGCCAGAGGCGGTTGCCCTATCAAGCAAGACATGCTTTCCTTCTAAATTCTTTAAGTGTTTTTTGAATTAAAACAAAGGGAAATGAAGGAGATGAGACCATAAATATTAATACAGTGACAAAGGCTGAAGTTACAAAACCCGTGACCATGAGCAGCAGAAAATATTTGCATGGCCGGTAGACATACCGCAGCCATGTTTGCAAAACAGAGTCCGTCAGAAACTGGCCAAATGAAAACGCGTAACAGGTTACGAGCTTTTTGTTCAACGATACTGCACCTGAAATGGTTAGTGTCCACTGACCATTGTGCATCCACCATATTAGAACAACTAAGATCTCGTTAAAGAACCTTATCAAACTCCAAACCCAATTTAGAGATCATTCTCATCTTCCTCATACAAGCGCCTGACACTGTATAACTATCTTACTTATATAACTGCATCTCCGAACGCAGAAACAGTTTCACAATTAATAAAGCTGCCGAAAATGATAGAAAAGTCGGAGTTTTGGGAAGATGCTTACAGTTGCTCAATGACATATATAAGGTGTAGACATTGTAATGATACGTAAAGATATACATATATTCAGGCAATAATTATAAAACCAATTATTGAAATTACACAATACAAATGTGAAACACAATTTACCAGATTTTAAATCCCAGATGCATTACATTCTTCTAGTAGGTTTAGGAGGTTATGTTCGGGGGCACTAAGAGATGGTAAAATCGTGCGATTCTTTCGTGTTTGTCTGGGTTTCATCACAGCTTCTTCAGAGTCGAGAGAACCCCCTTCCTTCATCACAGGCAAGTCACCTCTCCTAGGCACAGTTGCTGATACTCGCTCCTTCCATAGTCTCCCATCCTGAAGAGCAGACAAGCTATATTAGAATTCTATACATAACGATATCCACAGAAACAAATTTAGAGTAAAACAAAGAAAAGAACAAATCTAATCCATTTCTTATTCACTCTACACTTATACCTCAGGACCACTGGTTTTTAAACAACAATTTGGCCTGTCGTTATAGATAATTTCTATTCCATGTTATGCGCATGATTAGAATGATTGACATTGGTCAAAATTACAGCAACACCACCTTAGCCTTTTTCCTTTTGGGGTGGGGGTGTGGTGAAAATCATACCCCAATCGGATAGTGCTTAGATAAATCAGGTCAGGTTGCAAAGAATTTGTGAAGAAAATACAATGATATTGGAAAAGGTCACCACTTCAATCCTTATATACAGCCAACTTAATCCTAGATTCATCCACAAAAAATTGGCAACGACTTCACAACTCCCTTTATGATTGGTTAGAGAAAGTGATCCATATCCTTTTTTTCTAGAAATAGGCACCAAGTTCTTCTTCTTGTAGGCACTTCTTTGACCTAGAGTATGATTGATGCTAGTGACGAAACTGCAATATGAAAACACTCACTAGCATTCCACCTTACCAAAAATAAATTTTCAAACAAGCCTTCAATAGCAACCACGCTCTTGAGTTAGTTACAGACTTACGGTACAGTCAAGCACTTAATCTGACATACCAAATAGTGGACTCGGATACTTACACTAAAGAATAAACAAGTACAGGTTTCCTAGGTATCTGGTGAGCATTTTAAATTCCATAAGAACCAAAAGGTGAAAAAGACTAAAATGAAAATATTCTGGGGTTTTCATGGACAAAAACAAATGCTCAGTTTAACACTAATATCAAATTTCAAGTCTCAGGCAGCAACCAACGTGTCCATCCAATCCAATCAACTTCAGTTATTATGATCAAATCTACTTAAGACAACATGCAATGACATCCTGAAGCGAAACTATAAAAATTTCCCAAGCCATAACCGTAATGTTAGTCAACAGAGTAAAAAAAACAAGTGAAGAATCGGTTTCTACTTCATACCAAAAATAACAACAACAACAAAGCCTGATCCCGCTAAGTAGGGTCAATTGTAAGAATCTTAGAACATCACTGTGCTCGGTTTCTACCTCATACCATGAAAATTATTTCTATCATCCTAACTTGCAAACTTACAAAACAACATTCTTTTAGAAAAAAGCCAGGATTTAATCTTACATTGAGAATTGACGGTTCAGGTAAAGGGCATTGAATTGGTCTATCATTGTCAAAAGGCTCAATCGGATGTTCAACTGGCTTAAACTCTACCGCTACTTCAATCCCATGAGACGCGGCAGTGGGGGGAGGTGCTGAAGCTGTACCCTCGGAGTTTGGGGCCAACGCTTCCCTCCCATCCTGCACCAGAAACCAAACTTCATGAAAATTGTGAATGCACAAATCAAACGCACAAATGCCATCACAACGTGTATCAAAATCAGCAAGGTCCGCGACAGCAACAAAGATCATCATCGATTACATGATCTACTCAATAGATAACAGAAACATGAAATCCAACAAACTCCAAAAAAAACAATCAATTAATGTCAAAAATCGGATTCTAACATGTGGGATTTTCAAAAACAAATAAAAAAAACAAACCCAAACCCAAACCCAAAAGAAAGGGTCAGAAAAGTTCAACAATTGAAACTCCATTTTTGCACAAATTTGTAGAAGCAATGGAAAAAGTCAACCCCAGTCAAAACAAGGCAATCTGAAGTATCTAATAACCAAATCAAATTAAGATTGCAAATATAAACAAACACACAAACATTTCAAATATAAAAGAAAGAAAAGAAGAAAACGAAGAGCTCTTACAATGGCACTCTGGGTACGTCGATGACCGGCCCTGCTGGAGAACCTTGAGAAAATACCCACCATATTTTCACTTCTTCAGAACTCAATTCACAAAAGGGTCTTGTGATCTTGGCTTTATCTGTCCAATAAACCTCTCTCTCCTTCTCCGTGTTTTCTCTCTCTAGAGTATTGACAATGCATATATTAAGACGATACAAAGACACACAGATGCTCGACCACAGAAAGGCCGTTGCTTTCCCTTTTCTGGTACCCTATTATATTCTTTCTCTCTCTAGACTTTGAAGACACAGGACAGAGAGAGAGACAGAGAGAGAGACGGTGAGTGGGGTTAGATGATAAGGCAGATCAAATGAGGTTGCTTGGCGATGGCGTAACGGGGTTTGTCCGTTTCGGATTCCCTTTGTCTTGATGTAAGTGTTATATTGCTTTGGTGTCAGCAGCAAAATTTAAAGATATAAAGCTGTGGACGAGAAGCAATAAATGGACTGTTAAAACTTTTTTATTGTCAACCGGTTTAAACTTTTCGGTTTAATAATATATTAGGTTTTTAAATTAAAATAGTTTTTGATATTGACATAACTCTTTACTTTGATCCGTAAAATTTGAAATCGATAAAATTAGTTCCTGATGTTGTTCACCATCAATCATTTTAGTCATTCCGTGAGAAAATTTCCCTTAAATAAGGATAAATAACAAAAATATCCTCAATTTTTTTGTCAAATTAGCTTGATGCATTATTTATTAAATTAAGGGTATTTTTGACATTTTGATTTTTATTTAGCAGAATTTTTCACAAAATGACCAAAATGATTGATTGGGATAAACTCAGGGACCATTTCTATTGCAAATCTTACGGCCCAAAGTGAGGAGTTATATCAATCTCAGATGCTATTTTGGTTAAAATGCCAACATTCTAAACTCCTAGCATGTTTGGTGGACTGGTTGGGATAGGTTGGAACCAATAACTTGAATCTAGTCTTTTGCTTGTTCTGCCAAAATGTGAGATGGAGAAAACTGACCATGATGGTTATAAATCCAAATAAATTATTCAACCTACCTCTTATATTGTCTTATGCCCATTCATCATATACTTACGGCTCAATTTCATACAGCCCACAGAACTAACCTTTTAGATTTGGATTGTTTTTCAAAAATTATTGCACCTTAAGATATTGAAATTATATCAATTTAAAAGAAATTCAAGCATTCAAAGACACAAAGTGCAAATTTATAAATTTTAAACGTCAGATTTAATGTAATTGATATATAAAATAGAAATCTTGAAAACCACTTCGAGCTTGGAGGGTAAAATATTATAGCCCAAACTTTTTCTATGGACAAGAGGACGCATTTACTAGTATGGTATGATATTTTACAAGAAATGAGTACCATTTTTATTCTTGCCACATTGTGCTTTTATAAAAGTTAAATAAATAAATAAGTCGGTTTCGTATAAATTTTAGTGTAGTGAAAGATTTAAGGTATAAAATAACTAAAAGAGTGCTTTATCTCATACTTTAATAATCCTTCTCACCCTCCTGCTTTAATTTTGTGTTTTCAGAAAAGTGCCATTTGAGTTAATTTCTTTTATTTCAAATTTTCAACTTAGTATTACGTTTTAATGGTATTTTTCTTTCTTCGTAATTTTGATACTACTTGTTAATTTTTCCGCTTTGATTGACCACCCTTAGATTCAAGTCATGTATTCAAACAATAAAATTTGAACATACGATTGTGCTCTTAACCACTTAAGCTACAATCTGCTTTCAACTAAAATAATAGTTGAACAAGTTTGCGTTTTAACATTTGTGCTGCAAGTATCAAATCACTCGAAATTTAAAGTGAGATGAGATCTCGTTGGAATGACAATTGAGGTGGATAACCTGTCAATCTAGACAAACGAAGTATATCCATCTAAAAATTAATCTGACAGGTTGATACCCTGTACACTAATCACATATGGTTTCAAATCGAAATCAACTTTCGAAGGGTAATGCTAGGTAATTAAGGTTCTCATTGGATGTCTATTTTTTGTGCCAATAGATCAGGAAATTTCAATCGCTTAATTTCAAATCATGCGACTATGCATACTTCACACAAAATCAAACCCTTGAATGGTCCAAATCTCTTTCTCTCTCCTAAAACCACCGAATTCTCTAGTCCGTCGACTCCGGACACAAAGACTAGGGATTTAATATTAGGTGTTGACCAACTATTTAGATTAAATTTTGAAAACCATATGACGTGATTGTTGATGATTAAATTATTAAATGTTGGTTAACGTACTTATTTCCTATTTATGACACATCACATGGTTTGTAAAATTTGGTTTGAAAAATTGATCTATCTAACGGTACTCACTTTGAAATTATATCAAGCTTAGAAATCAACCTCAAAAAGCAAGTGGAAAAGGGGCATATTTCCACATCCCACAAGAAATTTAAGCAAGCATTTCCATATATTTAACTCGAGAAGGCGAGCATGCTCAATGCCAAATCAACTCGAGACCCCATCGATAACATTATAATTTTATAAAAACGACGTTTGGAAGAGTAAAAATACGCAGTTATTCCGATGAGAAGAACACAAAGAGCATTACCATTTGCCCTCACTCTTTCACTCTAATTAAGAAGCAAACACAAATGCAAAGATATTAAGCAACATCACTCCTGCCTTGCATAAGGTGAGGAGCTCAGGTCACTGTAAAACGAATCCTCTGGTCCGCCATAGTAGTTCTCTTCCTTCTCGTCATCCCACTTCAGAACCTCCCTTATGTACTTGAATGCCTCATCGACAGTCACTCGGTCCCTTGCCCGAGTCTGCCACACAAAAAGCTTTCGGCCTGTGATGGAAGCATAAAGATCTTTGAACTTCATTGCAACGTAGAAGTAAGCTTGCTGGGCAAGTGTCTGATTATTGTGGTGGGGCTTCACCGGACTAAAGTCATTGAACCATTCGCAGCAACTTAATGGCGCCTGATTGACCTTGTCCTCAAAGAGATCGTACTTGTTTAGTATTAATACGAAAGGGGTATCCTTGAAGCAAGGGTGCCTGACCATATTCTCAAAGAGCTCCTTGCTCTGTATCATCTTATTTTGAAGTAACGCTCCACTGCCACTATTGTCTGGGGAAACCCACATCTGATCATAATCACTCAGAGCGACGCAAAAAACTACCACACGTACATCTTCAAACATTTCCACCCACTTGCACCCTTCATTCATCCCCTTCGCATTCACTCTTATAAGTTGGTATCTGTGACATCAAATACGAAACGTTCAGAAAACTAAGATTGTATATTAATCAGCAGCAGACAGAATAATCCGAGTATATATATGTTAAGTAACACAATCACTGCACTAACAAAATGGCATTATTTGCTTAACGGGAGAAGCCCCAGGAGCTAAATACATGGTCACACGTACACAAGAAGAAAATAGCATTACTTGGTTAGAGGCGGGGGCGGAGCTTCAAGATTTTCCGTGTAGGTTTCAGACATTGGACTCCGTTCATCAAGGGTGAATTCTATGAAAGCCAATCCATTTCCTTGAGTGACCCCTTCTGCATATAGTATATCTCGTTCTGAAGGTTCATACTCATTGCTAGATACCTCAACAGCCTGAAAAAACAAGACCACATGGTTAAAAATCTAACGCTCGTCTAAATTGTCAAGGCTACGAAGAAAACATAGCAGATAGTATTATAATGGGTCAGGATCGGGAGACACACAAAGCCATACACTTTGACACACTTTTTTAACCATTAGACGTTTCATTATCCAATGCTTCAAAACCTATCTTATACATTTATAATCCCTAAAGATGGTCAAATAAAAATTAAATACCTCAAACATGGCCGCAAAAGGAATTCTACATCACTAAAATTTGTTACTCCACAAGTTTAGATATAATGTTACCTGGCTTAAAAAGTACTCTGCAACATTAGGGAGGAAATGAAGCTCATCTCTTCTTTTATATGTTTCCTGAATAGCAGGATCCTTCCACACTTCTTCAACTAATGGAGCATACTCGCGTGTTGCAGCAGGGAAGAATGCATCTAGATCTCCAGTAGCAATAATGTCTAGAAGCCAGTCAGAGAAATGCTTCAACCTCGGGTTAATCAAGTAGACACATTGAGTAGTTTCATCTTGGTTGACCTCACCACCTGAAAAAAAATTCAATCAGATCTAACATTCCAAATTGTCCAAAATGCAGGAAAGAAAAGATTCTATATTTCGCAACTGGATTAATCAACATCGTCCTATCTAGAATCATTATATTTAGCCTACATAAATCGTCAATGACATAACTGAAACCTTACAGTTCTATCACATGTGCAACAGATTATCCTCTTTTAGAGGAAACAGTCATTAGTAAGGCCAGCTTGAATGGTTAAGCAAACACGGCTTTGTGTCTCTGTGTTCTGGGGATAAAAGTATTACTAATGAGTTGAAAAAGTAGAACCACTTTAATGCTTTCCCCCTGTGCCATCATAGTATTCTCCTCTGTTTACTCTCTGCTCATCCACTCATAGATATAGGTTTTGTTGGAAACCGCAACCCAGAAGCTACAAATTTATTCAGAGCGGTCCCTACTCCCCATGTGCTCCTCTTTTAATTGACGTTCCCCATTGAAACATTTTTATACAACAAATACTCTATTAAAAGGGAAATAGGTGTACATAAAGATGGACAAGAAGCCCATCAAAAGAAGCAGAAGAACGAGCTTGAAGCTGATAAAAAAAGTCCACAATCAAGAAAGATCAAGCTAATAGCCCAGAACGCCCACAAGGTGCCAAAAAAACTTCTCCCTTCATAGAAATCCATATCCTCTCTTATCTTCAAATATTCTGCTATTTCTGCTAAAACTGCACAACGCACAAAGTACTGGCTTTGTTTTTCGAACTAAACCCCCAAACATCCTCACTGATCAAGGGAATACAACCTCTAGGCAAAGGCACCTACAGCCCCAAACATTTTATGAAACATTCCCCAAACAAGAGAGGACAATGCAGAAAGATACGACTGCACTCAGCATCAGTACAGCACAAAGAACACCAATGTGGCGATAAGGAGCTATTAGTCTTCATTTTAAGAGATCACATGCGCTAATTTTTCCATAGGGCAACTTCCAAGAAAAAACCTGGCGTTTTGGAATACCAGGCATCAGGCATCCAAATCATCCAATAAGGCTCGATAGACAACAGGCCATAGTTTTCCGGTAAGGACTGAGTAAGATTTGCAAGAAAAAATCCCTAAACTGGAGGGACACCTTACACATTAAAGGAGCATTGTGGACGCGAGACGAGACAAAGGGTTAATCAACTCTAAGAATATTAAAGCTTCT